ATAATGATCTTTAAAAAAGCATCATATGACCCCTTTAAATGAAATATCAGTCAGAGAGCTTGTGTGTTGGGAAAAATGTTAAAATCATCCACTAGGTGGCAGTCCCAGAAACACTGCAAATTTGGTAAGTGGGCTCTGAGGAACCTTTCTTGAGGACAAACCCTTCTTAGGGACACAATGGGGGGGTCCACTAAGGTCCCAGCCTACTCATTGGGCTCCAATTGAAGGCGCCCCTCATAAAAATTCCCAGGCCTGTTGAAATACAGTGCTGGCTTTTGATCTGTTCATACAGAACATCTGCATATTGTGCAATACATATAGTATACAAACTATATATTGTATGCTCTTTTGAGCATAGCCTATCCTATGAACTTATGCTGTCTGAATTAATAGGACAGAGTAGCACATATACTGACCGACACAGAAGTATGGAGCCTTGTGCTGGTCTTAGCAGACATCCTAGTGAGACAACTGTCTCGGAGGAAGCTGTTTAATTCTGCCCGAGTGTGGAAGTTGGATTGTTTATTATACCAGGATAAACACAGTCTGAGCTTCCCATTTCCTGGTTTTGTCCGGGCCGGTGTTGTAGATGACTGTCGAGCTTGGGAAGTTTATTTCTAGCCGGAGCTGACTCGGCTGACCTGAAATAGAACTAACACAGTAATTGCTAATATTTTAACAGTTCCCTGTAGACAAGTGAGGGTTGTCGCACTGATTATTCAAGTGTTTATGCAAATTTTATACACTACCATTCAAAAGGGGTTGGTATCTCTTATGCTCATCAAGGCTGCATTTATTTGATCAAAAATACAGTGAAATCAGTCATATTATTACAATTTAAAAGAACTGTTTTCTATTTTAATATAGTTTAAAATGTAAGCTGAATTTCCAGCAGCCATTACTCCAATTTTCAATGATACATGATCCTTTTTGAATGAGTGTAATATGCAGATTTGCTTCAAGGAAACATTTCTTATTAATATTGATATTTAGAACAGTTGTGCTGCTTTAATATTTTTCTGGAAACCATTATATTTTGATGAATAGAAAGTTCAAAAGAACAGCATTTATTTGAATTATGCATCCTACATGTCTATTCTTACATGTGCTTCTGTTGTTTCTCTCACAGGAACCTTCCAACTATAATGATGTGGGTGGAGGCACAAAAGCCAGGCGTAGATGGGGTCAATATCATCACTTCCGACTTCGTAGAACTTGTGGATTTCGCAAACACTGTCATTAAATTAAATAACCTCCTCATTCAAGATCGGCCACAGGCACATGACCTTTTCAGTGACTGCCACAAAGACTGAAGGTGTGCTGACCACAAAGACCTGGAATGACATGGGGGTCACAACGTGATTATCAAGAAGTGATTGATACCTATGGCCATATGAGCTCTAAATTGGCCATTTTTTTATATTTAATTCAACAAAGCTTTGAGTGCCATCAATCTGATACCCATGTTTTGCTAACTTCACTGAAACTCAAAAGTAATCTTTTCAACAGCTGTTGCTCACCTACACTTCATGTACTGAAAAGAAACTAATGTCATTATTTATGATTAATTATAATATTTTTACCATTTTAAAATATAGACAGAGCAAGAACAAACAGGGTCATTGAGTTTTTTGTTGCATCATGAACATTCCCCATATTTTATATAATATCTCAGCACTTTAAAGTGGTTTAGCAATGGCTCATTTGTATACCTGATGTGATCAGCAGTTGCTGGTCTTTATTCGTGTTTGGAAGATGTGGGCCACGGTCACGGCAGGAACCTTATTTTGACAGCCGGTCCAATACAACAATAAACAGATTTTCCATTGCCTCGATTTTCTCAGAATTTTGCCAGTATAATAAATACTATGGTGGATAATTTTTTATTTAATTAATATTTTTTATCATTAAAGTAATAAGAATGAGTTGTTTTTTTGACTAATAAATACATTCTATACATTTTTATTGATACAAAAAATCAAATACAAAAAAAGTACTATTTATATATTATTATAGTATTTAGGGTTTTTTATTTATTTATAACTTTATATATTTATTTTTATTTCATTTTTAGTTTTAATAACATTTCAGTTTTTCAGTTGAATTTCTAATTTTTACCTTTTTTTTTTTTTCCATCTAATATTTAGATTATATTTTATTTCAGTTTTATTTAAATTACCAAAAACTATTTTTAATAGTTTTAGGTAACAACACGGTACAAACAGTAACAACATAACAAACATGAAAGGCTTTGAGAGATTTACCTAATCCCTTTAAATGAAATGCTGAAATGTCTTTAAAAAAATAGAATCACGTGTAATCATCTTCTGTATTTTTTTCCTAAATCTCAGCTTGTTTTATTGCTCTTCAGTATTTAAAAAATGTTCTTACCAGTATTCACAGAAACAATGTGAGCGTCTGCACATCAAGGGCCCTTCAGAGCGCAAGATCTTCCCCAACTGCAGTTCCCTGCGACCATGTCCACATTCCAGTGAATGTTTTCTGAGGTCTCTGGGATGGGAAAGCCATCAGATAATGATCAGGAGCATGTGAACGAGTCCACACAGAGCATTTGAATCCAATGAAGAAACAATTATGTGCTCAAAGCATGAAGGTATTTAGGAAGAGAGAAAGAAAATAGAGACAGATCTAATCAGCACAGCTGCTCTCTTTCTCTTTGGCTTTAAAATCACAGTTTTTGTTCACTGATATCGCAAAGGGAATGTTTCCCCTTCAGTTTTTCAGTTTGGATATTGATAGTGAATTTCAAATGAGAAATGCAGCCAACTTTTTAACCAGAAGACATACCGTAGGGTCCAAAAAATGCTTCATTTTGCATTGAAAGTCTCTGAAACCTATAAGTCTGTGTAAAATCTGACGATCATGTTCTCCAGCATGATTTGAGATGATCTAATGAGCTTCAATGGAAGCAAGAACATCTCTCTGTACAAAGGATTCACATGGTGTCATAAATTTGCGGATTTGATTAGTGACCAAGAAATAATGCAAAATGTTCTTTCGATTAGCACAGGTTTTGTATTTCTTTTTGGAACTGGTTGATCATTAGCTTATGCACCTCAGCTTCAGAGTGGTAAAAGCATTATTTGTGGATAATTTAGGCAATTTTCACTCAAAAACTGAAATACATCACCTCAGATCAATGAGGCCTATACGATCAATCAGTTCCAAAAAAATAAAAATACAAAGCCTGCGCTTTAAATACCTGAATTTTAGGGGTCAGACTTCTGGATCCATCTATACTAGTGATATGTAATTCCAAGCCTTTAAAAAAAAAAAAAACATCTTGTCAAAATTTTGAGAAGCTCAAGGCATAGCGACCTGACCAGCTGCATTTTGAAACTATGACATTCTTTGTTCTTTCCATGAAAGTGTAGACCAGTGGTCTTGACCTTAACAAACAATATTCCTTCTCTCCATCCTCTCTTTCACACTCTTGCCTCTCCTTTTGTTCACTCCCGCTCTTTATTTCATTCTAGATCCTGAAAGAATGTAAGGGGTTGTTGTTGTTTTTTTCATGTCGGCACCAGTGCAGTAACTTATATAAAAGGACACTATCTGCAGTGTAATTACACGCCGCTGTTTCGGAGATAAAGAAAACTCTATGAGCGTGCACTGGAGCATCCTGTTTACCAAAAGATGGTAAACTGGATGTTGGGTGTGAACGGCGGTGGGTGTGAATTTATGACACACATTGTAGATTGTGTATGTTAATTAAACAAATAGTCTTACTGTGGATATTTTTATTTGGCAGCTTAATTTTTTTTTAAATTGTGAGGAAAAAACTGGTTGATTTTTATCATTGTTTGTATCTTTTTGGTAGGCAATTTGATATATTCGAATATCAGAATTCAAGAACTGGCCAAGAAAAGTAGGCCTAAACTTGTAAGAAAAGACTGCACTCATCATATAATATTGCATTATATATATATATAACATACAAAACACTAAACAATAATAGTCACAATGTCCCTGATGCAGGGAAAGGATGAATGTGAGGAATGACACTGCAGTGAAGAGACTAGAAGAAATAAATGAGGAAGTGATAGCCTAAATAAATGCACGCTTTGCACAGAGCAAAGCAGAAAATATCTGACAAGAATGACACATAACAAATAAACCTATATAAAGTTTTATATAGACTATAACTTATATATAGCCTACACGTAGGCTGTTAATATAAATGTTAACATTTTGATCAAATAAATAGTGAAGATGGAAACGTAGCCTATTAAGAATATCAATAATCTCTGGTTAATTTCGAACTGTTGCTTTTAAAAATTAAAGGCAGGTGAATGTTTTGTTCCATGTCTCAAGAACCAGTGAATTGTCAGTGCTGGCTGAACTGCACGCGCCGCCGTCTCCAGTGCGCATGCGCACATCAGCGCACGGTCTAGTTCCAGCTGTTGTGCATTCCATAGCACGGCGGAGTCGCCGCTGGCCAAGAGCGCCAGGACAGCGCCTTTAAGTCACCAAAGAGCCACAGGACTTGCTTAATTTCTTTGGAAATAATTATTTGTAACAGAGTGCTTGTTTTCAGCTTTATCAATAACACTCGGCGGCGAGGTGGAGTTTCCAAAGAAAGAGAAATATTGAATTGGCTTGATTTTTTTCGTTCTGTCATTTGGAACCGCAACGGATATTTGGGGAAGAGCGCTGTACCTTTGGAGCTGCCATTCAAAATGACAGACGTCGTTTCGGCAATGGTGAGACTTGTGTTTTGCACAAATAATCCTTAAAGTAAAACTTTATTTAATAGAAAGCTGTTCTTTTAATTATTCGAAATAAGCGCACAGTGTCTGTCTATATGTAACTGTGCGGTTTTTAATTAGGGATATTAATTTGAAATATTGGAAAATCTATCTTTTTCAGTCTATGATTCATCTATGTTAATATATTTGAACACATATGGGATGGTGTGGGGTTTTAATATTCCTTTGATGATAGTGAAGTGTGATGGTAATAACATTTTCATCAAGCTGGACTCATTAACACAACACAAATCATTTCTCAATTAAAAATCACAAATAGGCTACTGATTAGTTTGGTTATGACACCTAAAATTCCTCTTCTTCTATCATAATGTAAAAGCTTTAAGTCAGTCTTCTCTAAAAGAAAAACTAAACAAATGATTCATGTAAATACCAAATTAACTGAAAATGGGCTTTTTAAAAGTGTCCCTAATTGTTGAATCACTCCTTTTTGCTTATGTCTAGTTTTGTAAGTTAAATACTGATAAATATGATTGATAATGGTTTTTTGGCCACAGTATTTATTTAACTTAATCTATGATCAACTCTTGGCACAAGTCATGGCATGGGTCTAGATGTGTTTTGTATGTTGAAATCGTCATGGGCACTGAATCATGACACTAAACTGAGAGATAGGCATCATACAGTAAACATCAAATACCAGAGACACTTTTAAGACAACCTGAAAGCAAACAGTGCCGTGAGGTGCGATTTCACTAAACAGTACTGCCTGATTAAACAAGGAATGATCAAACTGAACCAAACAAACAATTTAAGGTTTATAGTTGTGTTTTTTATGCATTGTTTTTGTTTTATTTGACTTAAATGACCCATCTGTGCACAAACAACAGCATAAACCCTCAAACCAGATGTTATGGTTGTAAAAACAGTCTATGACACTCAGAGCACAATTGTTATAGTTACATGCATAAGAGCAGCAATTATTTCATGAGTCAGTGTGAGGGGATGAAAAGAAATAAACATGCGGTCAAACATAGAGAGCGATGCTAGATGCTGTAAGTGAAGCAGATGCTATGATTGTGAAAACATTGGACCTGCCACTCAACACACACTTGGGCTCAGGTGTGTTAACCTGTGATCCAGCTGACGCACACAGTTCTCATTGGCAGACAGGTTGTTGATGGTGCAGATGTTACAAAAATAGTAATCACTTGTGCTGAGTGATGATTCTGGCAATCAGTATAACCCCTGCAGTGAGAAAAAACATCTGCATGAGGTCTGTTAGCATCCAAAAACACCTCAGAGTCAGGTGATTTACAATGGACCAAACATACACTCTTGGTTTCAAAAGGGGGTTTTCACAGTGATGCCATAGAACAGGGGTCTCCAAACTTGGTCCTGGAGGAAACTCTGTAGGACAACGGCCCTCCAGGACCGAGTTTGGAGACCCCTGCCATAGAAGAACCATTTTGAGTTTCCCATTGAACCTTCTGTGGAATGAAATGGTTTCAGTGAACAGGGCCGTCCTTAGGGGGGTGCAACTGGTGCAGTCGGACCGGGCCCCGCGGCGAACGGACCGAGGGGAAACCCATCATCTGAATGGTATGAAACTTAGTGACTTTTGTGGCACTTGCTGTCCACCTTATATTTCAACATGGAAGTAAGCCGTTTTCTGTGAATGTGCGAGACTTCCTGTTCGCTGTAGGGAAATAATGAGAAGAATAACAATGTGCAGTAAATGGCAAAACTGTTTGCACTAAGCCAGTGTGATCATAATGAAGATGACACATTAAAATAATATGGTAAGTCACACCAATTTGCAATATCCAGCAGCAAAACGAGCTGTTTTGTACAGCTAAAAATAGCTGGAAGCGGATAATACTGGAAGCCAAACCCATATGTTTTACAAATTGCCGCATCCTCTCTTATGGGAAAAATAAGGTGGATATGAACAAAAATTGGATGATTAGAAAAGGCTAAATTGTCTGACAGTGAAGCAGTCTTTGATCATGTCTAAATATATATCCAAATGCAAAACCTAATAAAAGTAATTATGTCTGTAAAATGTC